TTAGAAGGCTGAAGCAGAAGGATCTTGAATTCTAGGCCAGCCTGGATTACACAGTGAGACTGACAAAAAGTTAAAAAAAGGCACTGACTGCACCTAGCTGCCAAGTACAGTATGGACCTGTTCAACACATGTTACTCATAATACCATGAGCAAGTAGTTGAAGCAAAGACAGGTCAAGATGGCCAGCTTGGGGTAGAATGGATGGCAACTGTCCACTCCAGGTTCCTGTCACATCCTTCTCCACTGTGGTGGCCAGCAGCAGTAACTGGCCTCCTAAGGGCCCAGATCCCCTGGTGACTACAACCCTAGCTTTTGTTTGGAGCTTGTGGTTTGAATGAGGATGTCCCCCACAGGCTCAGGTATAAACACCTGGTCCTGTGTTCTCAGTCCTGCCCCCAGAGGCTCAGGATGGGTGGCCTTCCTGGAGGAAGTGATCACTGGAGGCGGGTTCTGAGAGTTCATCCTCTTGCCTCCATCCAGGTCCTCTCTGCTTTGTTGGGGGAGGGGGAAGATGAGATCTCTCAGCTTCCTGTTCCTGCCATGATGCCTGACACTTGCTGCCTTGAGGGACTCTTACTCCTCCAGAAGTTACCCGTGGTCATGTTTTACCACTGCAATAGAAAAGCAACTTACACAGAGCTCCATTCCTTCTCCATTGGTTGTATTTGTTTGAAACAGGGCTTCCAATAGTTTTTTTTTTTTTTAAGGGCTTGTTTTTCTTATTTTTTGAGACAGGTCTCAGGTAGCCCAGGATGACCTCTAACTCACTGTGTAGCTGAGGGTGACCATGGATTTTTCTTACTTTCTTTCCTCTCTGTCTCTGTCTCTGTCTTCTTGTTGTTGTTTTGAGACAGGATATCACTATGTATTATGTATCCCTGGCTGGCCCAGAACTTACATGTAGACCAGGCTGGCCTTGAACTCACAGAGATCTGCCTGCCTCTGTGTGCCAAATGCTAGGATTAAATGCATGTGCCGCCTCACCAGCTGCCCATGGATTTCTGATCCTCCTACCTCCACCTCTCCACTGCTGGGGTTCCAGGCTTGCAACACCACATCTGGATTTTCACTCCCATTCTTAAGATTGTGTGCTTCTGATGGATCCTCATTGCCTCCCTGGAGAGAGAAGCATGTGCCCCGATATAGGCCCCACTGGGGAGAAAGGCTGGACTAGCACCAGTACTCATCTGCTAACCTTGACACCAAGAGGGTGTAAGGCACGGACGGAGCCTTCTCTTCAGCTCCAACGCCCTCTTTTTTAGATTAGTATTTATGTGTGTGCCCACACGTACGTGCACATGCGTACCACAGTGTTGATATGCACATGTTGAGATCAAAGGACAACTTACAGGAGTCAGTTCTTTCCTTTTGCAAGGTGGGGTCCAGGGAGTGAACTCAGGTGGTGGGATCACTATGTAGCCCAGGCTAGCCTTGAACTTGGGCTCCTTCTGCCCATGCTCCTGAATCTTGCAATTACAGGTGCAGCAGCACATGCAGCCCTCAGTTTCACCGTTATGTTGAGTTGTGTGTTCTCCACCCTTGTCCGAGGCAGTGAACACCACTGAGCACTGCATGTGAGTGACTGCAATGCTAAGCCTGAGTTTTACCAACCAACTGCATTTGTTTGATTGACACAGTACACGGTAAGCATCCTAGCCATGGAGATATGGCAGAACACTAAATGAATACAAATGAGTTGGCATCTATACCAGGGCAAACTGCAGCCCATGGGCCAAATCTGGGCCACCACCTGTCTTCATTAACACAGCTTGGCTCGGGACACAGCCACACGCCTGTGGTTTTGTGGTGGAGGAGAGTCGAACAGTTGCAGGAGAACACGTTATGAAGACACAGCCATTGCCCATGAAGCAGCCCTCTCTCCCCAGGTGGAAGTAACACCGTCGTAGCCCTCAAATCAGCTTCAGTAAAGCAAACGCTCCTGAGTCAAACCCACCCCAAAGGAGGGTCTGTGCCTTCACTAAGATGTGCTCCGTGCAGGACTTGTCTCAGAGAGTCTAGACAGCGTGCAGATATAAACACATCCATTGCCTACTTGGAGCTCTGATCCGTTCCTCTGGAGTCAGAAGTGAAAGCCATGGTGAGCTCCTGCATTTCCCAGAACAGTCCCGTAAGAGGTGGTTCAAGTGAAACTGGGCTCTTTAATCTGCATGATGGAATGTCAGCATTGTTGACCAGACACGTCAAGCCTGTGGATCCTGCCTCTATCTACAGCCACATTGCACTCAGGACTGCCGGACACCTGCTGCTGTTGCCTTCTTCGTTTGGGACGCTGGGTACAAAACCCAAGGCTTGGAGCAAACTAGCCAGGTAGTCTACCACTAAGCTGTTGATTCTGGCCCCAGACACCTCCACCTCTAATCCCCAGCCACTGAGCTCCTGCCAGAAGTACAGTATATACAGTTAATATTAGTGAAATAGTGTAACGGGCATGCAGCCAACCATCACTCCAGGTTTCCTTTTTGAAAGATTGTATTTGTGCATGTTTTCTTTCCGGTAGGTGTAAGCCACATGTATGCCTAGTGTGCAGAGAAACCAGAAGAGAGTGTTGGGTCCCTGGAACTGGAGTTGACATGCAGTTGTGAGCCACCACGTGGGTTCTGAGAACTGAACCCAGGTCCCCTGGAAGAGCAACAAACCCTCCTAACCGCTGAGCCACCTCCTAAGCCCCAAAGTTTTCTTATTATTCGTGTGTGTGTGTGTGTGTGTGTGTGTGTGTGTGTGTAAGCACGCATGCAGGGGTATGTGTGTGTGTGCATACACACATGTACATGCATGTCACAGCACACGTGTTGAGGTCAAAGGACAAATTGTATGAGTCACTTCTCTCCTTTTGCCATGTTCGATCCCAGGGATTGAACTCAGATAGTCGGGCCTGGTGGTACGCTTTACCTCATGAACTGTCATGCACCCCCCTCTCCATGTTGTTTAAATTTTCTCTCTGATGAGGTAAAACACCAGGAAGCAACTGAGTGAGTCTAGCCCTTGGCAGGTCTTCCCTGGCACTAGTATTTAGGCATCTTTTTATGGTCTTCCTGACAAGGGTACTACTACATGGTCTGCAGAACAGCCTAGGTGAGGAGGGTGTTCTGGTCCTTAGTGTCCCTAAGGCCTACATGACAAATCTGTTCTGCAATTTGTCACCAGGAGAGACTCTCAGCAACTGGCATGTTGCCGTCATCCACTAGAACTTTACAGTAACCCACTCCAGCCTTTTCCTTTTTCTCCTTTTTTCTTCCCCAGGAAGCTCTCATTGACTCAGTTCTGAGAGCCATCCTATCTTCTTCCTCCTCCAGAGTCCTGGCCTGGGGGGCCCTTTTCCAGGTGTTCAGTCAGAACAGCCCCATGGCATGGTGGGCTGGGCAGACTTCATGCTGTTGGTATTCTGCGCAAGGAAGATAGACTGCTGTTTTGTGCTTTAAAGGAATGTACAGTAGGTTCTGGGGGTCTGCATTCAGACCCAGGAGACACATGTGGCTACAAGCCAAGGACACCTAGGACCAAAGGCAAGATCTATAAAGGGAAGACCTTTGAAGGTTCCATGGCGGAGGCTAGTTCTCTGGCTCTGCACTCCTTCCCAACGGCAGCTATGGGAGCTGGAGGTGACTGCAGCTCCTGGGCTACGCAAAGAGGAGGAAGCTCAGTCCCGATTGGAGACTACAGTAGCTGGGCCCCAACTGTCTTCCTGGGAATCTGGGATGAACAAGATCAATCATGGATTAAACATTGATCTTACAGTAGAGGAGATGATAGGGAGATGGGGAGGCCCCAGCACAAGCCTGAGACTGGATGAAGGTCCATCAAGTGAGGAGTCTCACGACAGAGCAGTGGTAAAGGATGGCAGTTCCTCTCTTACCTTGAACTTGGCTATCAGGTTGGATTCTCACCTGATTGTTACTTTGAAACAAGGCTCCAATGGGAAGGCAGTTTCAGAAAGCGCTCCCCAGAACTGCCACCTCAGGGTGTTCACTCTGGCTGACCTAGGAATCCTGCCTTCTGTTGCCAGGAGGAGCTGGCAGGGTCCCCAAGTGGGCAGGTGGGACTCATGTGGACACCCATCTGTGGCAGTTTGGTATTTGTTGATAGGGACATATTTCCTGGGGTTGAATGCTATATAGCTAATGTCTTCTACTCAGGCTCCACAGGATAAAATGTTACAAACCTGGAAACAGCAGGATCAGGATGCAGCCTTTCTTCTCTCCCTTACCCAAATCCACCTGGCTTCTGGGCCCTGCTCCTGGGTATGAAGACATCTCAGTCCCAAGTGGTTTCTTGATCCCAGTTATGACTGCAGTTGTCTTCAATATAGGCTGCTGGTGCGAGCCTTTCCTGCTGGCAGAGGTGAACAGATACACTTGGACACGCTGGATTGCAATCCAAACCTTTATTGGCAGAATAAACTTTGCCAGGGGGTGTCTGCATTCAGAACGTGACTCTGGGCTATTTGCATGGATGGAGTTTCCTCTGAGGTCTCCTCCTTCCCCGAGGGGCAAGCCACAGAATGTTGCCTTCTTGGCCTTCCTTGTGAGAGTCCCTTCTAGTAATCACAGGATTTCAATGCTATCAATGCCAGCCCCAAACTATGCCAGGATGTCCACCCACCAGCCCTATGCAATGCCAGAGTGCAGGCTCTTCCATGGTCAGGTTGGAGGCAGACATCAGTGTGTGGAGAAGGTGTGCAAGGGGGGGGGATGAGCTCTGCTTCCCTCTCATGCAGGAGACAGGAAATGATTAGAGCAAGTGGGCATCTGAAGTTTTCCTGGAACAGATAGAAGAGCTACTACAAAGGGCTCGAGTACTTGCTGTTCTTCCAGAGGATCTGATTTGGTTCTCAGCACCCACACTGAACCCACTAAAAACCACCTCTAACTCCAGATCCAGGGGATTTTACACTTTCCTCTGGTTTCCATAGACACATTTACACACAAATAGATTCGCACATACACAGACAAAAACAATTTCTTAAGGAAAAAAAAACCATAGAAAATGTTACTCTTTTATTATTTTAAGGAGGTAATACATAGCCCAGTACACCAAAGCAATAGGGAATTAGAGGCGGCACATGGCCAGTGATTTGGGGAAGAGCCTCATGCTGCATCTCAGGCTCCTGTCTGCCTGTCCACATGAAGGCTGGGACAGTCACATGAGCTCGCTGTGACTGAAGCCGTGACAGATGACCAAACTCAGCCCCCTGCCGACCGAAAGGGCCAGTGCAGAGGCAGCTCCAGGAGTCGGCACCCTGGCACCCTGGCAGTGCCTGCCCTACCGCCCAAGGCCACTGTCCCCACAGCAGCCAGTGCACCGGCGCTTGATTCTGTTCCAGTGAGCCTGCAGTGCGCAGGGCAGGAATAAATCCCGAGTCTTCAGTTAAGGTGAAGCCTTAGTAGTGTTAATACTCTAGATGAGCAAAGACAACACTGTCCTGGGGGAGGGGGCGGAAACGGAAGGAGCCTGGGCTGCAGCACTGCCTGGAGGAGGAGGAGGACCTCTCCTGGTACATGATGGGGAGAGGCAGGGCCTGGGCTCTGGGGGAAGCTGCTTCCTCTGGCACAGAGTTGACGTAGAGGTTGATTTTCCAATCATAATTGGTTACCTGGGTCTAGTCGTATCTAGGACAAAACAAGTCTTGCTTACACCAAACATGGCCTTGGAGAGATGTGTGGCTCAGTTCTCCCAGGTTGAGGGGAGGGACTCAACCTAAGGTTCTCCTCCATTCCCAGCCGCTGTCCTTTGCAGGTGACTGGGTGAAGGACACAAGCAGAAGCAGGCGCTGCTCCAGCCCAGTGATCTTTTCCAGGGAGCTCACGTAGGCAGGACCCAGAGCCCCACCCTGGCCAGCACGGAGCTGACGTTTCTACGCGAGAGGCGACTGAATGGTAGTGTGGAGGAGGGAGTCACAGCAGGGGCTGGGATGCGGAGATACCCTCATTTCAGCGTGGTGGGCCAGGCTGCTGGCTGCCAGGAGAGGCTGCTGCTTCCCAGCATGCATTGCTCTCCTCCAACCCCACTGCACAGGCTCACGGAGTTTTGATTTGACAGGTATGAAAATAATTTTAAAAAATCACACCACTGTGTATTCTGAACCCAGAGCTGATGGCTTTGTTTTGTTTGACAGGAAAGGACAAAGAAACCACAACTCCACAGCGGCCAAGGCTCACGGAAGCACAGAGTGCGCTCTGTACCCAAATGGAGAAACCTTGTCGGACGGGGGAGCTGGGGGAGCAGCCATGGGGTCCTCTAGTCGGTGGCAGGATCTGAGGTCACCTCATCTTCACATTCTTCAAAGCCTGGGACTGGCTTCTGCAGAAAGTATGTGGTGGCCTGGATCACCTTGTCGGGTCCGATGTTGTAGACGGGGTGAGTGGGCTGCTGTAAAGAGAACAGACGCCAGTCCGTCACCAGGGGCTCTTGGTGGCTGAAATTCACCTGGCGGAACTGAGATTCAGGAGCATGAGTCACACACACACACACACACACACACACACACACACACACACACACACACACACACACACGTGTCCTCCAGGCCCACATGTGCAAACCACAGTATCTGCTGAAAACATTTCACAGTGCACAACCCAGGGGAACAGTATACAGCCACTGAAATGTGCACTTTCGGGTATCTTCACGACACAGACATGCTTATGTTTATCTGAAATACATTGTGGACTTTGGTGGACTTTGGAATGTTCACATAGACTTAACCTGTTATGCGTCTTTATCTAAAATTCTGAAGTCCAGGATTGTGTGTGGCAAACCCAGCACCTCACACATGTTAACATATGTGTCCACCTCTAAGCTACATCCCCTGCTCCAAAACCTTTTCTTAAGCATTGTGACTGTTTTACTCCTAAATGTGTCTGTAATCAGCAGACAAAGTACTGAGTTTGTTACAGCATTTTCTTTGTTTCAGTCTGTCTCTCATAGGCTGGCTAGCCCAGGCTGGCCTCAGATTTACCATGTAAGCTGGGCTTGAACTCTTGTCTTCCTGCTTCCACCTCCCACATGGCTGGGGTTCCGGGTGTGCACTACTGTGTCTGACTTCCACTGTGACATTTGCGTGTCTACTGTCATCATGCCTTGTTCTTATCTGCACCTCAGTCCCCCAAATAGTGACCCCTTTGGCTTCCATGTACATACGGCTCACTGTCCTCTGTTGCCTTCCCTTAATACCTCTAACACAGAAGGTTCCACTTCTCTCCTATGTGGAGTGCAGACCCAAAGTAAAGGAGAAGAGGAGAGGAAGAGAGGGGAGGAGAAACACTGTAACCTTTTCAAAATTCAAGGTGCTACACGAATGCACTGTATGTTGAGCACACTCCCCCCAATATCCCCACCCTTCCTCCCTCGGAGCACCCCTGCCCCGCCCACTAATTCCCTTTGTCCCCATAGACAGCTTGATTTCTGGTTTCCTGTCATAGATACATACGTGTTTTATGTGTCTATATACAACCTAGGACCCACAAATGAGAGAAAACGTCTTCCTGAGACTGCTCCATTCACTTACTACAGTGGTTCCAGTTGCAAGCATCACCTTTCAAATGGCATAACTTCACTCCTTATGGAATGAAAAGGGTCCCTCTCTTGGACAGGATGTAGTGCTCCAATTACAGGTGTGCACAGCCACTCCTGGCTCTGAACTTTTTGAGAGCTACCCTGACACTTGAAAAGTTGTAGCTTTTAAAGCATTTTGGATTTAAAATGTTCACATGCGGGATGCTTGACCTGTAACGTGTGAGCAAAGCGCCGTGCACAGGAAAATCTCAAAGCTCCTTTCAAAGCGTGGTGGAGAGGGCAGGGGTGTGGCACTGGAGGGCAGGGGTGTGGCACTGGGCATCCACCAGACAGCCACAGCCGTGGGGCCAGCCTCCCCTTTTTATACTTGTACATGGGTTTCAGTGATTAAAACGGTGAACGTGCATCCGTGTTCATAACGAAGAAGGACCACAGCTCTCTTGAGGGTGAGAGTGTCACGTTTCCATCCCTTTACATCATTTCCCTACATCACAGAAATCCAAAAGAAACGTCAAGTCTGTGGCAGGACAGACTTTTAGAGCAGCATCCGGGGCCCTCTCTGGGAGAGTGAAGAGGAGGAAGATACAGCTGCAGAAGGATTTCAGCTTCTTTACTCACACCCCCACCTTGTGTATGAGGAGGGTCAGGAGACAACATGTCGTCAGAGGAGTTGGTTTCCTCCTGCTGTAGAGGTTCCAGAGTGATCTCAGGTTCTGAGCTTGGCACCCTCACCTGCTGAACCATCTTGCCAGCCCCTCCTTTATTTATTTAGACAAGGTCTCATGTAGCCTAGGCTGGCCTCCGTCTAAGAGGGGTACAGCCAAGAATGACAGACTTTCTCACCTCCCGCCTCCACCTCCCGAGTGCCGGGATTACAGGCCTGCGCCACCATGCTGGGTTTCTACAGTACTGAGGGCTGAGCCAGGGCTCTGTGTGTGCCGAGTGTGCAGTGGACCAGCTGAGCTACAGCCCCAGCCCTCCGCCTACACAAAATTTCTGAGAGACACAGAGAGGAAGTGGGACATGGCAGTGAACACCTTTAACCCCAGCTCTCAGGAGACAAAGCAGGTGGATCTCTGGGAGTTCGAGAGTTCTCGGCCAGCCAGCCCTTCGGAGTGAGACCCTGTCTAAAATGGGGGAGGGGCAGGAGGCTACCGATCGAATTTCATGAGGCCAGTATATTTTAAAACACAAATTGGAAAACACATTATAATAAAAAAATTATAGCAATCCTAAAAGTGCTTTTCTATTTATCTGTCTGTTCTGTGTCTGTGGTGCAGGGCACATACGTGCCATAGGACTCAGGTGGAGGTCAGAGGCAGACATGCAGGCCCCGATCCTCCCTTTCCGAAGGGTGGGTGCCTTGTGTGGCAACCTACCGAGCCATCCCACTTGGCCCTCGTGTGTGTCTAAGAAAGATTTGGAGCTGATCTTTCCTGGGGGTCTGAGGAGATGTCTCAGCCAGTGAAATACCTGCTTCGAAAACACAAGAGCCCGAGTGTGATCCCCGGGACCCATGTAAAAGCCGGGTGTGGTTGGTGTGCTTGGAGTCTCAGCACCAGGGAGGCAGACGCGGGAAGATCCCCGGGGCTTACTGGCTGGCCAGCCTGCCTTAAGAGGCAAGACCCCGGTCCCAGTGAGATGCTCGGGCCAAAAAACAAGGTGTACAGCTCCTGAGCAACAACACCCGAGTTTGCCCTCTGGTCTCCACGCGCCCCCACCCCACCCCTGCACAGTGTCCCCCACCCCACCCCTGCACAGTGCCCCCCACCCCACCCCTGCACAGTGCCCCCCACCCCACCCCTGCACAGTGCCCCCGCCCCATAAAAGGATGAACCAGGTAGAGTGGATGCAGCCCTATGATCCCAACCACCCAGGAGGCAGGGGCAAGAAAACTCACACAAGTCCCAGGCCAGCCTGGTCTACAATATGGATTTCAGGCCAGCCGGCCGGAGCTACAGAGTCACACAGTGGGACCCTGACAAAGAACGATTTTCCATCTGTCTGCCATCTGTTTGCACTTCTGCTTGAGACATTTCCCAGTGCAAACAGAGGAAAGATGTACAGGCCAGGTGAAAAGATGAGGCTCAACACTTCTACCTGCTAGAGGTAGAACTGCCTAGTATGGGTGGCCAGGACAAGTGGCTCTGTTACTTGGCCACTGTGGACAATCTCAGCTGTGTTTGTTTCTTGGGCTCATGTCTAGGCACAGAGTGTCGGCTTCCGCCAGGCTGCCACGGCACAGGCCAGGGTAGGCGCCATCCTGCTCTTGTCTTGTGGTGCTGGGCACTGAACTCAGGGCTCTACAGACTCATCTCAGCATGGCCCCTACCCCTGAGCTACATCCCTAGCTAGGCCTGCCTCCTAGGGGGGGAGCATCCACACGTGAAAGACACACGTGGCAAACGGTCATGTGGTATCGCAGCATGGCAATGTGGTCACTCCGTCCTCTGAAGAGGGCATGTGAGCTGAGACATGAAGCCTGCCATAGCGAGTGCAGTACCCTGTCCCTGCCGGAGGCCCCCGGGGATCTGAGTGACAGCTGTGGTCAGCAGCCGACTGGACCCAGGTCAGCTGATGAGAGGGATAACTGTCTCCACCCCAGTTCAGAACACTGAAATCCTGGCCCTGCCCGGCCCTGTATTCCCCTACCCACACCTTCACTCACAGGCTGAAAAGTGCCGGGGCTGGGGGTGGGGCCCACACAGGAAACAGAGCCGGCTCTGCAGGACACAAGTGGCCACTCTGAAGTGAGGCCCCCTGACCTGGAAGACCTTGCAGCAAAGGGGTGTTGAATTGTTATGGCGAAAAAAGTTCTGTTTTATGCTAAGCCTCCATCTTGGTACCCATCTGCCATCTGTCAATGACTCCAGTCCCTGAAAGGTAAGTTCCCAATAACCCTGACTCAGTGACCCCCACCTGAAAGTATACAGCCGTGACTATCTGTTAGGATATAACTACCTGCTTTTTTTTTTTTTTTTTACTTCTGTAACTTGCTTATGCAGATACCCAAAGACTGCTTTGAGTTGCCTTAACCACCTAACTTGGCAGACGAGAACAGAACAGGTTTTACTGGCTTGCATAGATACAGAGTCCTTCCCCATACCCTTCCTTCGTAACAATCTCTAATTGGGCTCAGAGATTCGTCCTGCTAGCAGTTAATCAATAAATCACTTCACTGTAATTGGATTGAGTCTACAGTCTGGGGGGGGGGGGGGGGGGGGTGTCACAGACTCCCTGACAGCCCCCCACCTGCTTACCAGAGCATTTTCAGGCACACCCATGACCACATCATGCAGCATGGCTCCACTTCCGAAATGCTGGGCGATGGACAGGCCACTCAGGCAATAGCAAGTGTGGTAGAAGTCACGTGACCTGCAAGGACAGACAGCTCTGAGAAGCCCTGTCCCCTCCCTACCAGCCTCTCCAAAAACTGCCACGGGAGTTAAGTATTTCTCTCGAAAGACCACAAAATGTCTAGGGATCGAGCACACTCCTCTTGATACACTGCTGGGCCAGTGTTTGTGAGTGTGTGTCTGGAACGTGACGGGATTTCTCATAGTTTAGTTCCCTTTTCCATAGACTCTACCATACGCAATACCCCACACTTGTGTTTAGTCATTTCATCTACTCCAGAACGGTCGTTGGATTACAGTCCGTTTATAGCACTCATTGGTTTGATAACCTACCCTGTTTTGCATTGCTCGGGATGACCCCAGAACGACATACATGCTGGGCAAATGCTCCACCACTGACCCATACCTCCATCCATAGCCTATTCTCGTTAAATGGGCTTAACAAGAAAAACACAGAACAGTACAGTGAAGGAAGCTGGGCATAGTGGTGCTCACCTTTCATCCCAGCAGCACTCGGGAGGCAGAGGCAGGTGAATCTCTTGAGTTTAAGGCCAGCCTGGGCTAGAGAGTGAGTTCCAGTACAGCCTGGGCTACACAGAGAAACCCCAAACAAAACAGTAACAGTGAAGGGAAGCTAGCAATCCAGTGGCCTCTCTGGGGAAGGAGAAAGGTGCATGTGAGCTGAGGGACAAGGTGAGGAGCCAGAAGTGGAAGCCCAGGGCCACTGGAGGGGTTGCCCAAGGTGGAGCACTTTCCCTGAACAACATTAGTGCTAAGTGGCTGGAGGACAACGCCGCCGCCCCGGGTTGACGGGCCTGGCTCTCAGTGGCCAGGGTGGCACACTCCCTCTCCCCTCACCCCACGTCCCGAGAAGACACTCACTTGCCAGGTTTGTCCAGCAGCCCCCCCGCTGGGCACTGGCAGCACATCAGGATGTACTCCTGCAGGGCCTGCTGATGGAACATCCAGTGGCTCATGCTGAGGGCAGGGTCGCCTGGCGAAGGGCAGAGGACGGCAGAGGCAGGTTAGTCTCAGTCCACTCGTTCCCGGTACCCCTTCGTCACGCGTCCCTCTCCTGAACACGGATGTGTGTCAAAGGGCAGTTCTAAGTGGCGGTTTCATTTGCCTTGAAGTGGGCCAGTCAACGTGGATGTCCTAAACCACATCTCCAGCAGTGGTTAGTGCCCCCCGAGGGCATCCCCTCTCGTCCTGTGCAACTAGTTAGTGGAGTCTGAGCAGGGAAGGAACTCTTACCAGGGGGTAATAGCCAGATTCAGTGAGAGACCCTTTCTTTAAAAGTGAAAAGTGACTCAGAAGAACAACCAGATGTCAACCTCTGGCCTCCATCCATACCACATGTACATGTGCACACACAAACACACACACATACACATACACTACATATGTCAAAAAAAATCCCACATTTAATTATAAAATATTCAGACAGAAAATATTTTCTTTTCTTTTTTGAGACATGATCTCATGTAGCCCAGACTGGCTTTGAACTTACTACGACGCTAACGATGACCCTAAGCCTCCATCTCCTGGAATTACAGGTGTGCCTCATGTATCTGGCAATAACTTGGTTTTGTATTGGTTTGTTTTACTTTACTTCTGTGTATGTGGGTGTCTTGTTTGCACGCATGTCTGTTCACCACGTGTATGCCTGGTATCCATGGAGGCCAGAAACGACACTGGATTTGGAACTGGGGTACAGACAGCTGTGAGGCACCAGGTGGGTGCTGAGAAACAAACCTGAGTCGTCTGGAAGAGCAGCTAGTGTTCGTTAACCACTGAGCCACCTCCCCAGCACCCAGTTATTTTTCTTGAAGAGACACACACTTGTGGTCTCAGTTACTTAGGAGGCTGAGTCAAGAGGATCACTTGAGCTAGAGAGGGAGAGACAGGTTGGGGAAAGAGAAGAAGAAGGAAAAGATGGAAGGGAGGGGGGAGAGAGGAAGACACAATAAATAAATGCAATTTTTAAGATGTTCCTAGAACCCTGCACCTCGCCTGGGCAGCAGAATACAGCCAACTGCATTGGCGGGGGTGTGAATGAGTCAGCCCCAATGTTGTGAGCAAGAGAGAGCCGGCCCCATTACTCGGCTGTCATGTGGTGGTATGGGGGTGGGGATCCCTCTCCCCCAAGATGAGAGAGCTAGCCTTGAGGTCAAAAGAGTGGGAGAGCTGGCCCTGTTCTTCATCAGCTTGGGAGAGTGGCACCCACACCATGTCTAGGCAGCACAGTAGAGCTGGCCCTGCAGGTGTAGGTGGGAGATCCTAGGTCATGAAAGCAGGAGAACTGGCCCCGCCCCTTGCTCATCTCGGCCTGGGCTGAACTAGCCAGGGCAGTGCAGGAGAGCTCACCCTGGTGGTGAGGACAAGGGAGAGCTGGCGGGCTGACCAACCCTGCAACTATTTATGCCCAGAACCAGGGTTACGAGTTGGCCTACCCAACATCTACCCATCTGTGATCTGCTGGAGCATGTGAAGGGGCCAGAGCTGCAGACCCAAAGCTGCAGGATCTCCACGACACAGGGCAACAGCAGGATGTCCAAGAGGAGTCCCAGTGAGGGCCCAGCATCGACAGTGCAGCAGAAACCAGAGGCCTCGACGCAGACCAGTGACTCTGCAGTGAACACTTGCAAGTAAAGATATACGCACAAAAGGGTTTACTGCGTGACTCACTGGGTCACACTACAGCTTCCATGACAAGATTGATTTTTCCCTTTTTTTTCTTCTTAAATTTTATGTTATTTTATTGGAGGAGGTAGGTTGAAAGGGCAGAGGGCAGATACGAAGGGACAGAAATGAATGGGATGGAGATGCATGATGTGAAAGACACAAAGAATAAATGAAAAGAAAAGTTTAAAAAAGATGTTCCTGGTAACCAAAATGGTAAAAAGCACGTGTACCTTTCACCAGTTGAGGACACAGCTTTCCTCCCCTCTAAAGGACTCGTGACAGGGCCTCCCTAAAAGCAGAGAGCAACCCCTCCAGGTACAGAGTCTGCTGGCACCCCAACCTTGGACATCCCGGCCTCCAGCCCTTACTAGAGGTCAAATTCAAGACCACACTCATGCTGGTTATCTACAGCTCTACATCAGACTTATATCCACTGACAGAAGTACAGGGACAAAGAAAAGAATCTCAAATGAATCAGATAATCCGAACATTGTGTATCTGATCACACTATCTATGTGTGTGTGTGTGTGTGTGTGTGTGTGTGTGTGTGTGTGTGTGTGTGTACACATGTGTGTATGTTACCAGTTAAACCCAGAGCCTTGGAAATGCTAGGGAAGTGGACTTAGGGAAGTGGACTACCACTGGTCAGGTCAGCAGGCTTGGGGATGGCACCTTTACTGTGGGAGCCCGTTCTCAGGTTCCTCGTGGCTTTACCCAGCAGGTCGAATAGAGGATGATCAGGACCACGGGCCTGAGTGCAGGTGTCTGAGATGGTCTGCACTTGGCTGTGCCAGGGAGGAGGTCTTTTGCTCCACCCCTTGGCATCTTTATAAATACCCTGGGCCAGAGACAGTCAGGGTTTGTTGGAATAGGTTCCAGGCCCTCTCGAGGCTATCCTGTATTTTCTGTCTGTTTATCTCCACAAGATTCTCCGCAATAAATCCTTCTATCTAATATTTCCTGCTGCTCGTACTCAAGAAAACTCTGGGGAGCTGTGGGGTTGGTGGGTAAACGCCCCACACTTTACCCACTGAGCTATTGCAGGCCCTATACACCTTTTTGTTGTTGTTTTCTAGACAGGGTTTCTCTGTGTAGCTTTGCTCCTTTCTTGGATCTCTACTTATAGATCCGCCTGCCTCTGCCTCCCGAGTGCTGGGATTAAAGGCGTGCGCCACCACTGCCCAGCCCCTATACGCTATTTTAAAATTTTTCTCTGAGTTATTACAAAGATCAAACTAGATACTTAGAAGTAAAGGTGCAAAAAACCCTCACAAAATACTAATAATCTTACCCCAGGGGTGCAAAGTAGTTCAACATTAAGAAAATAACCAGGCCAGGCACTTCATCAGCCAGATATGGTAACACACATATAATCCCAGCACTTAGAAAGATCAGAGGTTCAAGGTCATTCTCGGCTGACCTTGAGAGTTTGAAAATAATAACAGAGTCAGTAAAATGGCTCAGCAGGTAAAGGCTCTTACTACTCAGTTTGATGGAAAGAACCAGGTCTCACCACCACACATTTGCCCTGGCACACATCCTGTGCCCCACCCCACCCCACCCCACCCCACCCCAAACTGATGAATACAAACACGACTAAATAAATGTAATAATTGTTTTAATTACAAGGAGCTGGCAAGACAGATCAGCCAATAAAGTGCTTGCTGCACAAGCTTGGGGACCTGAGTTCCATCTCCAGCACCCAGATAAAAAATCCGGCATGGCAGTACACACTTGTAATACCAGAGCTGAGGGGTGGAGGCAGGAGGATCCTGGAGCTGGTCAGCCAGCCAGTCCAGCTAAATGGGCGTCAGTGACTGAGAAAGACACTTGGTTGTCGGCCTCCACATATGTGCATGTATCCAGGACACACAAGTACACACACACATAAACAAAAACAAGTAAATAAATAGAGATTGTTATGATGTCAATGCTTGCTGAGTATGGTGGCACAGACCTGTAATTTCAGTGCTCAGAAGGCAGGTAGGAAGACCAGCAGTTCAAGGCCGGACTGAACTATATAGTTTGAGATGCATGAGACTATCTTTAAAGAAAAAAAAATCTACATATTCTCTGCAATCCTTAAAGAAATCAACAGAATTCATACTGAATTGCAGAAGACCCAAAACAGCCAAGGTTACCAGGAAAAAGAAGAAAGCCAGGAGATCTGTATTTCCTTATTTCAAAACCTACAGCCGGGCTATCATAGCCATGGTGCCTAAGGATAGGCACATAGCACAATACAGTAGAAATGAGAATCAGGAGATAAGCCTCCACACCCATGGCCAACTGGTTCTCAACAGATGCTGCATCCATTCAGTGAAGGAGAGCACAGTTGATCCTGGGATAACTGGACTTCTACATCCAATGAGGAAGCTTGGAGGGAGAATGTATCCACTGTATAAGCTACATACGAAAGTCTCCAACCCCAGCACCAGAAATCAAACAAAAGAAAATCTTTACTGGGCTGTGATGGTGCATGCCCATAATCCCTGCACTTGAGAGGCTGATGCCTATGCCGCACAGAAAGAGCTTGTCTCACAAAATAAAACAAACCCTTAAAAATAAATCAACAGGGCTGGAGAGAAGGCTCAGAGGTTAAGAGCACTGGCTGCTCTTCCAGAGGTCTTGAATTCAATTCCCAGCACCCACATGGTGGCTCACAACCATCTGTAATGAGATCTGGTGCCCTCTTCTGGCATGCAGGCATACATGCAGGCAGAACACTGTATACATAATAAATAAATCTTTAAAAAAAAAAATAGATCAAGAACCCAAATATGAGAGCTAAAACTCAAAACTCTAGGAAGAAAACATATAGTCCCATGATGATGGAGTTAGCAATGGATTCTCACATGATACCAATACCATAAGTAACAGGAGAATAAAAAAAAAAATTTAAAAAGAACCAAGCTTCATCATCTCTAAACAAGCTTATGTGAGGTCCTGGTTTGATCCCTAGCATAAATACATAATTTTTTAAAGGTAAAGAAAAAAAGCCAGGTATGTGGCAGATGCCTGTAATCCCAGCAGTTGGGAGGTTGATACAGGAGGCTTGACATGAGTTCTGGGCCAGCCTGGGCTACCTTGTCTCAAAACAACAAGCAACAGTATCTGCTTAGTTATTCTGCATGCCCTGCATTCCTAGTTGACTTACTAGTTTTTCCTTTGTTTTCTAAAGTCCGATAATGTTATGACTCTCATCTTACACTACATTTGCCTTTTTTCTTTTTTTTTTTTTTTTTTTTTTTTTTTGGTTTTTCGAGACAGGGTTTCTCTGTGTAGCTTTGCGCCTTTCCTGGAGCTCACTTGGTAGCCCAGGCTGGCCTCGAACTCACAAAGATCCGCCTGCCTCTGCCTCCCGAGTGCTGGGATTAAAGGCGTGCGCCACCACCGCCCGGCCATTTGCCTTTTTTCTATAGCACAGCTGTAACTACATCCTGTCTCCATTTTGCCTATTTGCCCTGGGTTCAACCCCCCAGTACCACAACTAAATTAATAATACATAAACTTGTTTTCAATTTATGGCTATGGATGTAACTCAGCAGTGGTGAATATGCTTAGCATTGTAGAGGATCTGGGCTCAATACCTAGTATCAAACATGAAAAAAAAAAATGATGCATTTGCTTACTAAAAAGTACAAGTAACACGGAGCAGAAGAGATGGCTCAGTGGTTAAGAGCAAGTTCTGCTCTTGCAAAGGATGTGGTTCCCGGCACCCGCTGTCAGGTGACTGACAACTTCCTGTAACTCTAGCTCCAGGGAATCTGACACCTTCAGACACCCTCATGTACACAGACCACACATGCACATCACACACACACACACACACACACACACACACACACACACACACACACACACAGAGTTTTTAAAAATTAAAACGTAAGTAATAATACATCTCATGTTTTTGGAAGAAGAAAAGAAAAAGGCATAGTAGAGGATATATAATGTACAAGGTAACCGCCGACTCCCTCCTATACTTCTCTCAATATCACGTTAAGTGTTTTGTGTTTTGACACGATGCTAGGGAAAGCCAGTAGACACCAGCTGGTGTGCACGTGACAGCCCGGGGCCTGGCCTTTTACACTGTTATGTTGCATCCTGGGGAGCTTTCTGCACAGAGCCACTGTATCCAACTACTGTTTAGAGAGAGCATCATTTATTTACCCACTCCTGTTTGTTGAGAAAGCGGTTCATCATGTAGCCCTGGCTGACCTGGAACTTGCTGTGTAGGTCAAGCTCCCCTTGAATGTACAGAGATCTGACTCTTGAGGGCTGGGATTAAAGGTGTGCAGTGGCCAGGCCAGGCAACTCTTCACTTTTCAATGGACATTTTCCATCTGCTACTCAAATTCTACTTCAATACACACCCTCTACTAATATTTCTGCGGGTGAACTCCTGACAGCGCACTAGTCAGGTTGAAATTTTAAGTGTGTGTGTAAGTTAAACAGACACCTGCACACTACCCTACAAAACCAAATGCCTATTTGCAGTCCACTAACAGGATAAAAATGCCTGTTCCCTCTGTCTCCCAAGTGCTGGGACTGACAGCATGCACAACCACGCCCAGCCTCAGACTAATGCTTTTTGATTTTTGAATGTATATTCTTCCAGAGTTCTGGAAATTCAATCATATAGTACATTGTTATTTTCTAGCATTTCATGTAACGAGGGAAACATTTTCATAACTCTGTAGCACTACATAAATGACCGGATAATAGTTTGTTGTAAGATGTACCATCATTTATATCACAGCCCCTCCTCTCTCACATTTGAACTTCTAAGTTGGTCTGACATTCTGCTCTTAAAAACAGGAAGGTAGCAAACATTCTTACAGTGTGCTCCTTGGACACACTATCACTTACTGTGGAGGGTCAGTTCCTAGAAATGGCCCCGTCTGGCTGATCCCTAGATTATGAATGGGCCAGGCAGATGGAGTAGACAGAGCCGGGCAGATGGAGTAGCTAGAGCCGGGCAGATGGCAGTAGATAGAGCCGGGCAGATGGCAGTAGATAGAGCCGGGCACATGGCAGTAGATAGAGCACTTGGTGTGCAAGCCTGAGGATCAGAGTGCAGATCCTCAGCACCATGTAAACTCTGGGCAATTATGGCAGCTGCCTGGAATCCCAGCACTTGGGTGGCAAGATGCCCTGGGCAAGCTTGCTAGTCAGATTAGCCAGAATTGGTGAACTCCAGGTTCAACTAGAAACTACCTCAATAAATAGAGATCCATCAAAGAAGAGGCCTTCCACATAAGCCTGCACACCCAGGAATGTGCATGCACACCTGCCACACACATGAACATTCACATGTACACACATGTGTGCACACCACACATACATATATATGTGCATGTTTTCTGATTAGAAAACACACTGTTAATAGATAGTATAACCCCAAATAATAGTTGTCACAACAAATGGATATTTTCTTTAACTTTTTAGATTTTTTTTGAAACAGAGTCTCACTATGTAGCTCTTGATAGTCTGGAACTTGCTATGTAGACCAGGCTACCCCCAACTCAAGAGATCAGCCTGCCTGAAGGCCAGGAGGAGTTGGATCCCCTGGAGCTGGAGTTATAGGTGGTTTAAGCCACCCACTGTGGGTGCTGGGAGCTGAGCTCAAGTCTTCTTTTAGACCAGCACATGCTCTTAACCAGTGAGCCATCTCTTCTGGCCCCTGACATGCATTTCTTTGGCTACAAACAAGCTGGATAACTTTTTTGAAGGGGACTAGGGAGGAGGAGGTTGGTATTCCTCTGCAGTGATGCAAGCCGGGCTGAGGTCACCTATCAACTACTACAGGTTGCAGGCAGTTTATAAGGCAAGCCTTAACCACATGTACTTTGCTTCGTCATCGGCAAAATGAGACCATCAAATGCCTCAGTGTGATAGGGCTGTTTGGGGGAGCAAATGAGAACATGTAAGTGAAGTACCCTGGCGCAGTGACGGCTTGGGAAATCTCTGCTGCCACCAACAGAGCCACCCTCATGGAAAAAGAAGCAACATCTGTGGCTTTCTGTAAGCCAGCTCCAAAGAAAGAGATCACCAAAACGTCAGGGTGTTTGTTTGAGAAAATTCAGCCTCCAGAGCAGTGGTTCTCAACCTTCCTACCACTGAGACCCTTAAATACAGGTCCTCATGTTATGGTGACCCCCAACCATAAAATTATTTTCATTGCTACTTCATAAGTGTACTTGTGCTACTGTTATGAATTGTAATGCAAGTATCTGGTATGCAGGATCCCTGATATGCGACCCCTGTGAAAGGGCCGTTTGACCCCAAAGGGGGTTGAGACCCACAGGTTGAGAACCAGTACTCTCGGGCATTCCTGACAGTCCTATCAGTGATCAAGCCAGATCCTATGCAGCTCCAGAGTGCTGGCATTACTGTGCCTCCGTATTCTGAGGCCTAAACCCGACAGCCCCAGGCTGGGAAGGCAGGACAGCGGCTCTGTGGATTTTTCATCAGTATCGAAAGCACCTACAACTCAACAACTCCAGTGAGATTAAGGAATTCAAGCGTGGGGCTCAGAGTCGGAAAGAAGCTTAGGTGTGGAGGCAGCAGTAACTAGTCACCCAGCTGAGTCCACAGGAAAGTCTCCCTCTGGGCCAAGGGACCTCCCGGCAGGAACAGATTGGCAGCCGGCAGGGTGGCCATTGACTCCCCTTCTTCCCTGTGTGCCCAGGATCACAGGCAAGAATGAGCATGGAATCGGAAGGCATTGAGAGAGAGGGGCTGTCCGAGCCTTGGCCTGCTGGTCTTGCCTGCCCTGTGGCGACTCCTTAGGAAGGAATGTGGATTTTTCCAGCCTGGCTGCTCAGGGAAGCACACTCATCTAGGTCAGCTCACTGACTTTAAGATCAAACATTACTGGGGCTGGGCTGCAGCTCTCTGGCAGGGCGCTTGTCTCGCACGCACGAGGTCCCTCATTTCAACCACCAGTTCTGCCAAACAAAACAGTGGCATTCGTAAAACTTTTTTTTTTTCCCCAAACAAACAGCATTCTATTTATTTATTTTGTGGGGGAGGGGATCATATGTGGTGGTCAGACAACTTGTGGGAGTCAGTTCTCTATTTCCACCATGTGGGCTGTCTCCCTGTTCAAAAGAAAACATTGCTAATGGTGACATGGACGCGGCCAGATGTGGCGAGTCCTCTCTCCTCGGTTCTGCTTCTCTGCCCCTTTTATAACTGCCTCTCGCGTCGCCATTTTGACTGCGTGCACAGAGGGTTTTCATCCGGACATGACCGAGCACAGCCCTGCAATGGCAGCTATGGCTTCATGCCGAGCGGAGATGGCAGCCCCAGTCCTTGTGGGGCCTGAGGCGGGGCGGGGATGCTCCCTTCAGATAACGGGAGCGGCACAGGGGAAGTCCATCCCGCCAGAGCGGCAAGTGATCTGAAACCATGCCAACTGAACCCTATTCTGCATACGCAGCCCCAAGGACACAGGAGGCTCCACACCAGGTCTCAAAATCCCAGCCGGCCAGAATCGCCTTCCTCTGAGCAGCCCTTGGTTGGGAACTGACCAGGGAGGTCATCTTCCGGCTCCCGTGGCGGCAGGGTGGGCTCACCTTGAGCGTGCAGTGCGCGATGCAGCAGGGGCAGGAGCCCTGCCTGCCAGAAGGAGTAGCAGCCGTCCACCAGCTTGTTGCAGCGGCCCTGAAATCCTCCTTCAAATCGCATCTGCCGGCTTGTCACCCATTGCTGAGAGAGAGCACAGGAGGGGCGGGTGTGAGCCAGAGACGCACCAGCAAGGGCCAGGCGGTGGCGGCGGCGGTGGCGGCGGCCGGGGGATGAAGTCTGGAGCTCTGGCTTCCCTCCCCGGTTCCCCCATAGCCACTGCCATTTAAACTGGCCGTTTGGAAGCAACCAGCACTGATCACTGCCCAGAGCTGGAAAAACAAGCGCCATTTTAGTTCGCATAAAAAGTGAAAGGTTTCGCTGTTACATTTTTGCGCACACACACACACACACACACACACACACACACACACACATCATATATACACAATATATGATATTTTGCTCTTTGTCTCCTTCACTGCCATTTCCTGTTACCCCTCTGCAGGCTGGTTCTCTTCCCCTCCCCAAATAGTCTCCTTCTGCATTTATCCCGTTCCCCTCTCTGTTCCCACCACCCTGACAGCCATCTTTGCTTAGGTCCAGATGGAGGCCGATGGTGAGTGAGGAGGCCATGCTTGTATAGGAGGCCTGCAAAGGTCTCTTAAACACAGCTTGGGGCAGAACACTCAGGCAGGGCCGCTTATCTCTTCCCATCACTGCTCAGGGGGCTTTGTTCAAAGCAGAGAAGGGACGTGTGTTGGGCCGGTCTCATCACATGACATCAAGCTAGTCCTGCCTTTACCTGGTACCTGAGGACATGCACTCCGGAACATCTGCAAGTCCCTACCAGGACTGAAGGTGGAGGCCATTGATCCTAATTACCAAATGAAAACCCCTTGGTCTAGCCTGAGGAACCCGGTGAGGCGATATAAGGAAAATCTTATTCTGAAGCTATACACTAGTACTTGTCACCCAGAGGCCACACATGATACCAGCACTCGTGGCTTATCGTCACATTTCCTGAACACACTCCATCAAGATAGCCTTGGAGGGATGAGCAGAACCAACTGGCTGAGCAGATACAACGCTCTCTTCCCTCCCAGCCCGGCCTCAGAGCTGCACCGCTGGACGGAAAGGGAGCCCTCCTACATTGAGTTCCTGAGTGTAGACCCAAGGGACTCTTTAGAGGGGAAGCCTGGACTTCCCTTAAATATAATGGAGTTTAGATTATATCCCTGGCCACAGCAGCACAAAAGTCAGTCTCAGATTCTTAAAAGGACAAAAACCCGGGGGTTTAGGTAGTCACGCCTCCCTAGTCGGTCTTAAATGAACCCTATGCTTCAGGGACTGCCATTTAATGGCGTTAGGCTAAGCACTGGGGGGGGGGGGGGCACTCTGCGCTTTTCCTAACCCACAATGTGACTGGATTCGAAACAGGCCAACTGCTTTTGTTCCAGTGCCTAAAGCCATGGTTTTGTTCCACTTCCCTTGGCGATAGAAGGTCAAAGGCCCTCAGATATAGGTGTGGGTTCCTCTCTGTCTGTCTGTCTCTCTTTGCTTTTTGAGACAGGGTTTCTCGGTGTAACCCTGGCTGTCCTGGAACTCACTCTGTAGACCAGACTGTCCTCAAACTCCCAGAGATCCCCTGCCTCTGCCTCCCTAGTGCTGGGACTAAAGGCATGCCCCACCACTGCCCGGCTCAGATGCTGGTTTTTCATAGCAAAGGGAGGGAAGGGGCTTCCTGGGAAAGGGAGGACTTACATTTATGGAGCACCTTCCGTCTACCAGGCTGTTATGTATGTTCATACCCTCAAAGAATAAGGATTATTATTCCTACCTTCCAGAAGGAAGAGACAGCACAGCTAAAGCACATTAGACAGCTGGCCAGGGGTTCTTGGCTGAGGGGCAGAGGTGGGGTTCAAGCCTACAGTTATTGCCATTATAACTTAGGCATGCACTACCATGTTCCTTACTTCTGCCTACAACATGGGACTTTACACTTCAGCTCTTGGTGGTGATCAGATTTTAAAATATATGTACAAAGTTGGTCATTCAGTATCAGTTTTCCAGAACCTTCATAGAGTGTGCCGTGTGAAAGGCTTCCTCTCACACTGAGGGCAAATGCTGCTTGCTACACCACAGAATACGAACGCAGCTCTCTAAAGGGCTCATGGGGCTCCACGATGAGGCCTGGCAGCTGCTCGCTGGACGTCAGCTGGGGCTGCTTTGCCTTGATGATGGCCAGGGGAGCGCATGCTCACCAAAAGACAAAGAGAAGACATTCTGTGTGTTCTAGGCTTCCCTTAAGCTGACTGATTTCTGAACACCGGCCAAGAGCTTGGAGGTCTAGAAGAGATGCCCAGACCTCCTGATAGCACCCCCCCCACACACACACACACACACTGCCTGGAGAACTCACTGGAATGCAGATACAGAATTTTCACAGGTAATAAATCTTTGGCCTTAAAATGCTTCAAAGCTCTTTTCATAGCTTCTTCTCTTAGGAGATTCTAAGACACATGGTAATACTAAATCCTGAGGGACCATAGCTATTTTTCTTGGGTATGGGGGAAGGTCCTCTGGCTCATTCCAGGTGGCCAGAGGACTCAAGACCACTCAGGGTCTGCAGAAACTTCAAAGCAGTCAGAGGGAGGGAGAGGTAGGAGAAGGAGCAGAGACGGAGACCGAGACCGAGGGCAGCTGTTAGCTCCTTCAGCTGATTCACAACTGTGCTGAGCGCCAGCAACCCCACCTGAAGCCTCGTCCTGGGACTAGAGTCTGTGCACTCACGGGCTCCGGCAGCCCTTCCCATCACAGACCTCCCCGTGGTCCCAGATCAGAGTCACAGCAGCAAACCTGGGCTGGGGAAGGGGTGGGGCGACAGCTACTCACCAACAAGCTCTTCAGGTTCAAAGAGCGTTCCTTCTTGAGGATTACCAGCGCAGCCAAGCCACAGAAGGTGTAGCCGCCGTGGGCTTCCATCCCTGGCACCCCGCCGATGCCACCTTCCCAGTTCTGGCACCTAGGAGGGGTGAGAAGCAAGACTGTGTGGCAAATGCATGGATGAGGACAAGTGTCCTCCCCATATTCTGGGTGGCAGAGAGAAAGTTTGCTCTGGTTAAAGCGTCAGTTGTTAGCACCATGGATAGAAATGTGCTGACTTACCAACTTGTAGGCGTGTGTGTGTGTGTGTGTGTGTGTGTGTGTGTGTGTGTGTGTGTGCGCGCGTGCGCGCGCGCGCGCGCATGCACGTAAAGTCAGCTCTGGGTGTTGTTCCTCAGGATAGCTATCCATTTTGGGTTTTTGAGAGTCTCTCACTGGAACCTGGGGATCATATTTTTAGCTAGGATGTCTTGGCCAATGAGTTCTAGGGATGCCCTAACCCCACCTCACCAGGGCTAGGATTTTGAGCATGGGCCACAATGCCTGGCTTTTCACATGGTGTTGGGGGTTGGATTCAGGACCTTGTGCTGGACAGTAAGCACTTTGTAGACTCAACTATCTCCCTGGCCCCTGACGTATTAATGTTTGCAGACTCCTTTTCCTAGAAAAGAAAACCAGAAGCCTTAGAAAATTAGAAACTGTCCACTTACATAAGGAATGTAGTAGCACAGGTTAATACTCACTGAGGGAAAGTTGCAAAGTTCTATACATAGCAGAGTCATCAAGTTAAAATAAAATCAAAACATAATTGCTAGTTTTGGTTATCTTTGAATACCAGGTCTATTAGTGAAGGTGTTTTTGTTTGTTTGTTTGTTTGTTTGTTTGTTTGTTTGTTTGTTTTGGGTTTTTTTTGCTTTTTTGGGTTTTTTTTTTTTTTGTATAGTTTCCTCTTTTTAACTCTAGCTCTGGAGATCAAACCCAGGACTTTAAGGATGCTAGGCAAGTGCTCTACCACTGAGCCACATCCCACCTCTCTTATTTTCAGTTTCTTTCTTTGCTGTTTCTGTTTGAGACAGGATATCATGTAGCCCAGGCTGGCCTTGAGCTTCCAGATCTTCCTGTCTTGCCCTCCCTCCCTCCACCCCACTGAAGTGCTGGGATACAGATGTGAGACACCTTGCCTCAGATTTTTGGGTTGTTTTTGTTGTTGTTTTGGGTTTTTAAAATTTTGTTTTGGTGGTACTGGCGACCAAGCCCAGGGTGTTGCACATGCTAGCCAAGTACTCTGCTAGTACTCTCAGCCCACCTTTTGCTTTTTGAAGTAGGTCTCCCAAAGTTGCCCAGGCTAGCCTTGCACACACTCTGTACCCCTGGCAGGACCTGAATTTGGGATCCGCCTGTTTTAGGCTCTGGAGTAGCTGGAATACAGGCCCATACTACCAGGCTGCATGGCTCAAACTTTCTATAATAAACACACACACACACCTACTTAAAAATTTTTTGAGCTATGTTTTACTATGTTGCCCAGGAGGGCTCAAGTAATCCTACCTCAGCTTCACAAGTAATTGAACTAGCTGGGTGTGATTGCTCATGCCTGTAATTTCAGGACTTGGAAGGCTGAGGCAAGACAATTGCCTGACTACAGAGGAGATCCTGTACAAACAAACAACACCAAAAATAAAACCCCTAAATATAAGACTGTGTCAGCCTGTAAATGCTCAAAAATAAACTTTAGAATTTTCTATATATTTAAAATCTCTAAGTTAGGCATAGTAGCACATGCCTTTAGTCCTAGTACCTGGGAGGCAAAGGCAGGCAGATCTCTGAGTTGGGGGTAGCCTGGTCTAATAGTAAGTATCAGAATAGCAAGAGCTATATAGTGAGACTCTGTTTCAAAAAAAAATCTAAAAAGTAAAAGAAAATATCCATTTATTGTGACAACTATTATTTGGGGTTATACTATATATTAACAGTATATGTATGTGTGGTGTGCACACATATGTGTACATGTGAATGTGCATGTGTGGCAGGTGTGAATGTACATTCCTGGGTGAGCATGCATGTGCATGCAGGCTTATGTGGAGGCCTGAAGTTGACTTTAGGCCTCTTCTTTCATGGCTCTCTACTTTATTTATTGAGGTAGTTTCTGGCTGAACCTGGAGTTCACCAATTCTGGCTAATCTGACTAGCAAGCTTGCCCAGGGCATCTCTGGTTTCTGCCACCCAAGTGCTGGGATTCCAGGCAGCTGCCATAATTGCCCAGAGTTTACATGGTGCTGAGGATCTGCACTCTGGTCCTCAGGCTTGCACACCAAGTGCTCTATCTACCCCATGTGCCTGGCTCTATCTACTGCCATTTGCCTGTCCATGTATAATCTATGGATCAGCCAGACGGGGCCATTTCTAGGAACTGACCCTCCACAGTAAGTGATAGTGTGTCCAAGGAGCACACTGTAAGAATGTTTGCTACCAATCAAAACGACTCTGAGATACCACCTTACACCTGTCAGAATGGCTATGATCAAAAACACCAATGACAGTCAATGTTGGAGAGGATGTGGAGCAAAGGGAACACTCCTCCACTGTTGGTGGGGATGTAAACTTGTACAACCACTGTGGAAATCAGTATGGCAGTTTCTCAGAAAATTAGGAATCGAACTACCTCAAGAC